CTCGAGGAGAGGAGGGTCCCTCGTGTCCCGGGGAGCGCGGGGTCGTCCCCTCCTCCCCCCCCCTTCTCTGCCAGCCCCGAAGACCGCGGGGCACGGGCGCCCCTGTGCCAGAGCCCGGCCAGCTCCCCGACCCGGGCCAGGAGGCCGCGCAGGCCTTGAGAAGATGAGTGAGTGTTGTGGTGGTGGTGGTTGTTGGGGGGGAAATAGAGCAGGCTTTCCCTAAAATGTCGTAGCTGACTTTCCCATCCCAGCTGCCCCTGAAATAACCGAGCCCATTTACTTTAATTTCCTGTTCCCTGAAAAGTATCTCCCCTGAGTGCCAGCATGGAAACACTAGCCAAAGCTGAGGCTCATCTTCTCTGAGGGAAATGGTGTGGTCAGATTTACATTCTCCTTAAAAATTTAAAAAGCTCCCAGCATCCCCCTGTTGCAAGTCTTTCTGCATTGCCGTTGCATTGAGGGGATCTCTCTTGCCTTCTCCTTTTGGTAGTGAGGTGGTATTTGAGTCCTAAAACTTGGGTTTTAACAGCAAAGGACAGGAACTATTTATTAAGATAGTTCATGCCTGGGTTTAGGAAGGTGTTGGCCAGGATAAAGCCTGGGGCAGATATGGGGCTGTGGACTGTGTTGGATGGCGGGAATGATGAAGGAGCATGCACACATTACAGCAGGTAAAACAGAATATAAGAAATCATACACTAAGGGCATTGTGAGAAGTCCCCTTAATGATAACTGTTTAATCACCAGCCTGTCTCAGTTGCTTGCCTCCCTCCAGAAGGTATTGTTTAGCGCAGCATTAGCTATTAGTAGTATTCTTCTCCTTCCTTCATCAAACTGTGAATGCAGTGTTTTGGCTTGGCTTTTCAACAGAAGTCATTAAAACTATTACCAAGAGTTCTGTTTCACTGACATAGTTCAGGGCCCTTGTGTCAATTAATATAATCAATTACAGATAAGGCTACAAGTCCCATGATTCCATTTTTACAATTATTTTGATGCTGTTTTGCATTTCTCTTACCTCTTTCTTTGTGTGTTTAGGCTTTGTTTCTGACTTAATACCCTGCTGCATCAAATATCAAAAATGTAGTGTTTTTGATAGAGTGGTTTCTGTAGCTTAAATACCTTTATTTATTTATAGCGATGGTATAATTGTCTCCCCTATTGAAATATGAAGTCACATTGTAATTTCTTTGGTAATAACACAGGCAATTCCTGTTGACACATTCATGGCAAATTAAGTTATGTAGAGAGAAATCAGTTCAAAAGTTGAGGATTTTCCATAATTTAACTGGCTGAACAGCTTCGGCATCAGACAAAAGTAGGAGTTAGGTTCGTGTGAATGTTGTGCTTTGCTTCAGTCTCCAGTATGCTTTTAGCTGCCAGGAAATGGCCACTTTATATTGTTATTGCTGAACTACGAAATTACATTTATATTGTCCATGAAAAGCAAATACCCTTCAAAATAAAGTTGTATTATAGGAGATGGCCAGAAGTTTTGTTAAGTTGCTACTAGTATGTGGAGCATTTTATGTGCCAGTAGCTAATACATCTGAGACAAAACTATTACTGCTGAAAATTGCTATAGTTGATAGGTTTTGTGGCTTGATTGAAGAGATACTGATCTGAATCCAGTTTCAAATGCATAGCTGTAACAGCCTTTTTGACCCAACCTTTAAGACTAGATGGACACGCTGACAAGTTGGGGGGGAGAGAGACACTGCGGCCTGTGGTGTTCTATGCGTAAGTCAATGTCTTCCGTTTCCAGTAGCCTTACAGTGTATTTAGATATTAAAGTTCTTCTGATTTAAGAAATACCTGAAGCGCAGCTGTTTGATTTTTTTGTATTCGTCTATAGGCTAATGAAAAATACAGATTCCATAAAATGGAGTGCGTTCTTGACTCTATAATGGCTTTTGCAGAACCTTTTGTCAGCTTGAGAGTTGTTGTTTCACAGAGTAGCTGCCATGGAAGTTTTGAAGTGTGACTCCTAGGAATCAGCACGAGACTTCACCTGAGGCGTGCAATCCTTCTGAAGCCGGCCCTGGGGCACAATCAGCACCTGATCAGCCAGGGATCTCTAGTAGGAGATTTCTATTAATGTGCATCTATATCTCATCAGAAAATGTGGAGAGGCTTTCATCCTTCCAGATGAATATACTCTCATTTCCTTTGTTCTGAGAGGACACAAGTGCTTTTTCTGACTTTGGGTCTAAGACGGGAGAGGAGTATCAAGATTATGACAACTGCTGAGTTTTTCATTTGTTAGATGTCATTGAGTTTGGAGGGAGTAGGAAAGGAGGTCACTGAGGAAACAAACCTTGCCTTCCCCTAGGCTGTTTAATTTGGGGAAAGCAATGGTTCTGGGGGAGCCTTTTAGGGGGAAAGGAAGTCACTGTAGGAAGAACATATTGTTGTGAAAGTCTTGCATTTGCTCTTTTTCTATATAACCTATACTACTCCGTTTTCGATTCCCTGATTTGGATGGCATGTGTATTAAATCAAGTTCCTGTGTAACTTGGGTAGCTGATCACATTAATGTTTTCACCCTGTTGCAAATATAAGGGAAAGCACGCATTCCTAAAAATCTTTATGAACGTACTTGCTTCCAGCTGTGCCTGTCCTTGTTCTCCTTGGTATAATGAAAGTCTGTGTCTGTTTACGGAAAAGTGTCTCCAGATCTAATC